GAGAGAGAGAGAACGAAGGAAAAAGAGCGATACGATAGAATCGTTCAAGGCTTAAGATTATACAAGTCGATAGAAAAAATTGGACGTCCTTTTTTAAGTGTAAAAAGTTTCGTGAAAATTCGAAAGGGAACTATTATTAAGAATAAATAGTAAACGCATAGATACTTTTATCATTGGTCGCGAACATTTCGTCTATTTCATTTCATGTTTTATACGTATGATTATTATCTATTTCGAATCGAAGGATATTGCTGCTTCTAGAAGAAAGTTTATTTACCACTTCTCTTTCGTTTCGTTTAATTTTTTTTTTTTTTTTATATCGTTTCGTTTCGTTCGCTTTTTCGTGTCCACACGTGTTCACGTGTTCGTATTATTAATTTGTATAGATCAAAAGGCGTGATAATAGCGAATAGCGAATAACGGAACGGTGTTCAAAGCCGCTTCGTGCAAATCTTAACGCTTATCGTTTAAGCAAGCTCGCGGCTTTGCTTTGCTCAAGATTGTCTACAATGTCGTGTAAATATTAATTTGTATGTTGCGTGATTCCCTCTCGCGGATATAAAGCGGCTACGAAGCGATTTGAACGATAATTTCAACAAAGGAAATTTCTTCGACACGAGTCCCCAAGTAGGATGAACGTTTCAATTTATTCGAAGGCATTCGTTCAAGTGTTGATCAGCACAACCGACTCGTCGATCTGCGCTCAGCCCGTGGAACTTTTATGCACGTTCTAAAAAAAACAATCGAAAAATTCTAATCGTATATTACAATCCTTCGATCGTAATATAATCTAGATATAATCTACAATAATCATTATTGAATTGCAATGAACATTAGCTGCAAAAATGATTGGCCGCTATCGTTTAAAAATTGATAAAATGGAAAGGCGAATAAAAGAAAGCGAAAATAGTTTTTTAATCGAAGTTGAAACAGCATCTATTGTAAACAAGGCAAACGAATTATTTATTAGGGGCAAAAGAAATGTATAAAAAAATGTGAACGAAGCGTTGTTCTCTATTTCAACGTATGTTGAATCTACGTATGTCGAACACCGCAAACGATTAGTATTTATAAAACGTACGAGGGAAAGGCTGAACGAAGCACGTGCGTTTTACAATCGTTGCAAAACACTACCAATATGATTAGGCTGTTCAAAAACTAAAAAAAAAAAAAAAAAAAAAGAAATTAACCCTTCTTATTGCGATCGTTTAGAAAAAAAAAAAAAAAGAAAAAAAAGAAGCAGGAAAATTAAATCTTCATGCGCAACTACATGACTATGATATGAGAGTATCAATAATTTCCTTCTTTTTTAGAGAAGAACTTACCCGTTCTATTCACTGAGTACTGGCAGAAGAGACCTTACGTGATAATCAGATTTAAAAAAAAAAGATAATATTAGCTCGTAATTCCGCGGATTATTATTTTTTTTTATTTTTCAGAATCAACGATTCGATCAAAAATCTAACGTATATATAATATGTATTAACGTGCTTCGTTAGATTAGCGAAACGCTCCGTCTACTTACAATTCGATGCTTTGAATGGTAGACGTGGGACACGTAATTTCTACCTTGACGTGACAATGCTTGTGACACTTCATTTGACAGTCTCTACACTCGTAACCCTGCTTGCCTAATCTTCGCGCAAGCGTTCGCTTGCACACCTCGCACACCGTCCCCCTGAAACGAAACATTTCGCGTCACACTTTTCATTCCACACCGATACTCGATCACTTACCCGGCCATGTGTTTCGCTATGAAAGTGTGATCGTTAAATATATGAAGCTTCGTGCCCTTCTTTCGCCACTTACTTTTTTGTGCGAGCGACAACGGTACCAGGTAATGCCTGAAAAGAGAAAAAGATAGCGCGCGTCAAAACATACGTCGCCGTTTCGAATAACGCGTGAAATGACGCGTGATGTAGAGATAAATATGTTACGTTGTTTACTTTTTGATACCGTTCTCGAGCGTTTCGAGGACCAACGTAGAAGCCTCGTTAACGTAAGTTTTGGTCGACGCCCCGCTTATACCGGATGCCTCGCTCAAACTCGATCTCCTCGATTGTTCCTCCCTCCCTGGTATCGATAAACGAGCTATAAAATTCAAGCGAAACGATCGTTTGCACCTCGTCAAGTTAGTCTACCAGCGTGGTACTAGCGTTATCGGCATAGAATAGGAAATTTGCATTCCATTGCATTGTTGCAGCAACTATTAGCAGCATCGCGGTGATTTTTTTTTTTTTCGCTAGTCCTCGCGATCGAGCATTTTCCATTCGCCAAGCATCCTTAGAATACGCTCTCTACCGCTCTTGTTATCCGTCGAGTAACGTCGAACTCGTACTCACCGACCATCGGTACGTCGTCGGAAATGGATTCGTGCGCAAAACAAACAACAAAGTAGAATTTCACGCTCAACGATTCGAACTATTTGAGCTATATTGGTGGGGAAAAAAGGGAGGGAGGAGGGGGAGAGGCGGGGTTAACCGAAAGAGAATAGATTCTAGTTCGAAGATTCGATGGGCAAACATACCCGAGCCAGGATCACGCGCCCTGTCCGCGGATATAGATCTCGAGTGTGGATCCTCGTGATTCGCATCACCTTCCGGTCCAACCGATCTGCTTCTCGTCTTCGATCGGCTCAGCCGTTTCTTTATCGTGCCGAAGAAATCTCGACGTTTTCTTCTCGTTCTTCCCCTCTCTGCAATATAATCGAAAGATGACACGAGATGCTTCACGATTCATTGTACCAAGTGTTCCTATTTACGCTGCGTGGTGGCGTGGAAAGAGGAAAATCATGCGGTGTTGATTACCTTCGGAATTGGAAGAATTCGGTGTGCTTTCCGGCCCCGACGTCACGCTGGTATCTTTCGGTCCGTGCTGAAACGAAGGAAGTTGTTAAGTTGTTTATACACAGGTAGTTAAGGTTACGGTTTGTTCGGCAAGCGTCTCAAGTTACAGAGTTTTTCTCAAAGAAGAAGGGCGTACGAAGGTGATAGATTTCGTGAAATTTATTAACGATTGTGAAATATTGGTAAACTATGAGACAGGCAATCGATGTATCGTACGCTCTTCCCCCTCCCCATTATTTACGAGAGGCTAATATGTAATAAATTCAATTCAACGAGATATTAGACAATGACAGGAGAGGGGAGAGGGAGGAGGAAGGAAAAAAAAAAAACAATCTTGTAACAAGGAGAATAATTACCTCCGGAGAGATCTCTTGCCAGTTCCCGCTTTCCGTTAGGGCGACCTGTGGAATTAGTAAACAACACGCCACTCAACTGACGATAATTAGTGTGTTCTCGTAAAACAGAAGGCACTGCTTGATTTCCATACGGTTCGTAAATGAGGCGAGGGAAAGGTGCTAATAAATGAAAGGAAGTTTCTCGAGAAAAAAAGGAGGAAAAAAGAGAGAGAGAGAGAGAGAGAGAGAAAGAAAGATACTACGCGATTTTCCATTTTTCATTGGAACGCAAGTTAGAGACAACAACAATGTAATTAAATAATAAGAAGAAGGGAGGATTGGGAAACACACGAGCGGTGACACGAATCCGAAAAACCGGCAAGATTGTTACATCGACGATGACACGATGCGTGGGACGACACGATGTCAAGCTTACCTTAACTATCTGCCGCTCTGGCTGCTGCAAAAAAAAAAGACACCACAAAAAAAAATAGATAATAATCAATACGGTGTTAGTAATAGTACTAGTAATAGTGAAGAGAAATTTGTATAGATAATTTAGATGTATATATATATAAATGCGTGCCATGCGTTTATCGAGCGTACCCTTTGCTGGCTGTGCACTATCAGCGTCCCTTTATTCCCGTTGCTCTGGCCGGTTCTGTAAGGAGAGTCCACCACGTTCCCGTTCGTTAGGTAATCTGCGAATCAGGTAATCGATCGTTCCTTTAGAAAATTTTCTCTCCCCCGATGGAAGGGGGAAAAAAAAAAAAAAAAAGAAAGGAAAAAAAAAAAACAATTTCAAAAGATTCATCATCGTGGACTTTCTACGTCATCCACGTCGTTCTACCAAGCATCCATTTTCATTTCGTCTACCAGATAATTTTCCGCGCCTGGCAAACGCGGCCGTGGCGATTGTGCAAGCGTTTCGTTTATTGCTGTCATTACGATCTGCCAGGCTCGTTTCTCTGGTAGTCGAAATAACTTTGAAGAATTGTCGAATTCGCCCGTAGAGGCGAGCGTGAAATCGCATTATATCGTGCTAGGGGGGTGGGGGGATCGTTAAAGCCAATCGTTACCTAAGAACGGAGTAGAAAGAAAAAAAAGGAAGGGGGAAGGGGAGAAGAGGCAAAGAATTTTTTACATACGTCTATATATATATATACGTCATGCGAATTGTGATAGAGGAGAACACCGCGAAAGGCAAATTTTTTCAAAGGAAAAAAAAAAAAAAAAAGGAATACTCGTTGGAAGTTTTAAACTTAGATCGATATATTATAATCGATAATACGATCTACGTGCTCTACGTGGAGAAGGAAAAACTGGATCTATTGTTACTCTACTATTGTTAAAAAAAAGATAAAAAAAAAAAATAAAAAAAGAAACAACGGTAAAACTAGCTTTGTTGAGGGGCCACGTTGTGGAGGAGAGCGAGAAATTCGAAGAAAAAACGCGCGAAGAAGAAAAGGAACACGTAATATACTACTAATTTACGAGGTATCGCTACTAATATAGTTTCACACTTGTGAACACGAAATGCAATGCCTTTCAGATAAAGTAATAGGTAATTACCCCCTTCGGGTTGAACGGTAGAGTCGTACAAGATAAGTGTGCTGTTACCATTGTTGTAATTTAGACTATTGTCGCTGATGAGATTTGTCGGGGTGTAGGTACGAGGAGTCGGTGACACCGGCTTTATCGTCTCCTTCACCTTGTAAGGTTTGTTCCCAATTTGAGGCACCTCCGCACCCTCGATGAATAGAAACTGAGAAAAGAGAGAGAAAGAGAGAGAGAGAGGAGGAAGAAAAGAAGGAAGAGAACGAGAGAGTGAGCAAAGGGGGAACGAAACGAATGAAACGAACGACACGCGAAAGAGAAAAGAGAAAACGATGGCGTGGCAAAATGAACGTTCTTTTTTTTTTTTTTTAAATAATACCACGTTTACTAGCATCCGTTTCCATATGTTACTTACCTCAACCGTCAATGTGCCGGTAATATCTTCTTCCTCGTAGGGCCGATTTTGAAGAGGTATTATCTGCCTTTGACTCGGATTAGCGAGAAGCTCGTCGATCCCCACGATTCCCAGCCCTAAGAATCGTTGCGATTTATTCGCGCGATCGTAAACCTCCAACAACACTTCCGACGTGTTTCGATTAACATCGCTGCAAAAACGATTGTTGCGAACAATTAAAATTCGATCTGATCGCTCTATTCTTTCTCTATATATAAGAATGCTCACAATAAGAATGCTTCGTCCCACGACGGGTTTCTGGTATCCTTTTTCGCGGACGTTTGATTCTTTTGCGGAGGCTCGTCCAATTCAACGACGCAATACGGTTCCACGGCACCTTGCTCGCCGCCCAATTCCGCGGCCCTCGCCACTTTGACGAGCAACCGCCTATCGTTGACCACGTACTGGTTTTGAGACAAGGTCGGGCTCTGTGTCTGAAGCCGTTGCCGCGAGCTTTGAAGCGAGCTGCTCGACGTGTGCTGCGAAAATAACGTTTCTTTATTATATATAACATTATTTAATACATAAATTAAATTACACACGATACGAATACTTACCACGTTGTCGTAGTGCATAGGCATAGAAAAGGTTGGCTGGGTGGCCGCCGGTTCCCTCCATAACCGCGGACAGCTCGGATATTGGAACAAATTCAGATGGACGTTGGTCCCCCTTAACGCGCCTATCACGATTTCCGTTACGACCTCTTGCAACTGGCTCTCGTCCAGATCTTTCTTTATCGTGCCTACTTGGGCCAATGAAACTTTCACCTGAACGTGAAAATTTGCGAAATGCATAAGCAGGGAGAATTTTTTTCGAGGGGGGAGGCAAAAATTAAGAGCGAGAAATACTAACGTCCGGCCAGCCGTCGCATTTCAAATCGAGGAGAAGCTTCTCCGTGATGCAGATGACGTTCAATCGGGCGCGGAAACGGTTCACGTTTACTCGATAGTGACTGACCTCGAGTTTCTCAGCTTTCCGCCGGAACGCTTTCAACTGTAAGGCTGGGGTGGCCTCGCAATCGCACGTGATCGTCTGAAACGGAACAGATTCGAGATTGTGGCCGAAAATCGTTCCATTGAACTTCTCGAATACGTACCACGTCGTCCTTCGAGTCGCATTCGCAGAAAATGTTCGAGAGATTCGGTGGATGGGTTTCGGGTAAAACTCGAACGAATTCGACTCCGACTCCGTGCTGAAAATAAAGAGAAAGCGCAGAGTGAATGAATTTTTTTTTTTCGAAGAAAGAGTTGGTTAGTTTTTTTTTTTTTTTTTTTCAGCTGTGTGTAACTAAGAGAAACAAAACGTTTCACTCACACACTAGGAATTTATAATAAGTGAGCCAATATATATATATATATATATATATATATATATATATATATATA